TCCCAGCACCCACATGGTAGCTAACAACCTTCAATTCCAGTTCTAATGCCCTCTTCTGACCTTCATGGGCATTGTCTGCATATGGTGCAGTTACATACATGCAGGCAATCATACATGTAAAATAATTAAAAATAACAGAAGTCTGCTTTCAAGCATATGAAAGTCATTTAAAATATCTAAATTATTCATTATGCTTAGTTATAGTCATTAAGAGTAAAGTCAGATTCTCATGACCTTACCAGACCACTATCGCCTCTCATTCAAGTACTTGGCACAGAGGCACTACTAAGAGCTAACCACATCCTCCCAAGATGTTATTAATTCACTAAGAACAAGAGAACATGGGCCAAACTTTCTCATTCCCATGTTTTTGCTGCCTGTTCATGGGCATGAGCCCATGCTTACAAGCTTACAAACTGAATATTATAAATGAGTGAAGCATTTTCCTTTTTATAAACAATTCCAAACACCATTCTTTCACAGGGATAGCAGTAGAGGCCTCAGTGATGTCTCCTAAGGCACTGTTTTGGGCACAAATATACACAGCAATCAGTGTGTTTGCAGACTACAGAATGCAACGCAGCCAGTTAGTACTACACATAAGACAGGCAAGTCAAGAGATGCTGCATCTCCTAGGTTATCCATTTGAAAATCTGAAGACTTCATCTAGATAGAGTAAGGGATTTGGGTCACTTTGGTGGCATCTGAAATTTAGAAAAGGAATGAGGGACAAGATTATATATAAACTTGTTTCCTTAGGTTAAGCATAATAAATGAAGAGGTTTTCTTTTCATTCTCTTTTGAGCTGCTGGCAATGGAACTCAGGGCTTCCTGCGTGTGAGGCAAGGGCTCTGCCACTGAGCCCAAAGTGGAAGTATCCACTGCTTAGCTCATTAGTTTAGTCTAGATGCTTTATAACCAGCTGCATATTGGCCACTGCTCTGAAACCTTGTGTTCGTTTCCATCTTCTGTTTCCTTATCCCTTTGAAGCCCAGGCATGATCCTCCTGCCAAAGCCTCCGAGTCTGAGATTTACAAGCGAATGCCACCAGGCTAGCTGTCCATGTGTTAGTTTTTGTTTGTTCAGAGGGTGCAGGCATTAAAGATGTGCACCACGCTTGGCTACATGTGTTATGCAATTACTATGTCAGGCTTAAAAAGAAACAGGTATTCCCTTCCTCATGGACATCTGATTCCTAGAAAAAGCACAGTGTTGACCCAAGTTGAAAACTACAATCAACTGAGTTTTGAAATTATGAACGTTCTCAAATCCTGTAAGTTTATCCACAGAAAACAAGTACCCGGAGTAAGCTAGGTCTGTGGTTTTATATTTAACACCATTTGCAGACTGTTCCTTCCAGAAGTAGCAATATAAGCAAAAATGGCATAAAATCACAGGAACAAAGAAAACAGAAGAGAATCAACAACTGTCTGGAACAGGAAGCAAGCCAAATATCAAGTGCAAGTAGAAGAGCAAGTGAGTTCTCATAGGTACCGGGAGATCCTAGAAGGGAGGTGCCACACTATGGGAAAGGCTCAGGAAGCTCTAGGATGGAAGTGGGCGACTGGTCAAACTGCTTGACCACTCCTTTCCTGCCCTAGACTTTGTGGACTGAAACTGCTCCAATTCCTCAAGCCTAGAAGGTGCCAGGCACAGAAGCAAGAGGGAGCAGAATTACTAAATGCCAAGTTGGTCCATGAAAACCCAGGGAGTACTGAGCAAACAGGGTGCTTGGCTCCCCAGAGGTCACCACATGGCTCCAGAAGAAAGGTCCAGATGCTGACATCTGGAAGACCTGATGGGAACAGCAAGATCCCTCATCACCCACAGCAGTCCGCAGCGGAAAATGATAAATGCAGCTTCCTTGGGCTTGTAGGACGTGTGGAGAAAAGGGAGCCTCAAACACTAACAACGAGGAGCAGGCCATCGAAAAGTGGCAGAGTAAAACTGAAGAACCAACCATAAAATACACCTTGGGAGACGCAAGAGAGCACATCCAAGAAATGAGAAAATGACATTTCACTGGAAGAACTCGCCAAGAAATTGGGGGGAGTAGCTAACCCAGAACACAGAACAAAGCCAAGAGATGAAGAGAAAGGGGGCTGGAGAAGTGGCTCAGTGTTCAGAGCACTTGCTGCTTTTCCAGAGGACCCGAGTTGAGCTCCCAGCTCAGGCAGCTCCAGGGGCTCTGAATCCCTCTTCTGGCCTCCGTGGGCCACCAGCATCCACAGCATACACTCCCACAGACAAACACACACAAAGAAAAATACAAAGACAACAGTTCAAACCAGCATCCAAATACAGTAACTAGAGTTTCTCAAAGAAAGATCAAGGAAAGCAGAAGGGTCTGAAAAATCAGAGAAACAGATGCCTGACAGAATGGAAGGTCTTGGTTTCTCTCATTTAGATGGATTACCAGGCACCTAATGTGCAAGAGACACACAGGCCATATACCAAGGTAATGAAATATGTATATGGTCCTGAAGTATGAAAAGATCAAGGACTTAAATCTGAAAACACATCTCTCATCTTCCAAGGCCACATGTAAAGTGTAAATAAAGATGGCACTGATTTATACTGCAATACACGACAAACAGTATTAACTAGTGCTTTCAAACCAGGTGTCCAAGTGTAGAGGAGGACTTCAGACTTGCCAACTCCTTACAGTTTGACTTCACATGAATTTATTTCTCACAGAAGGCCTGCTAGAGGTTATGACTCTTTCAAATAAGAGTGTTAAGAAGAGAAATGGGCTTTCTACAGACGGAAGGCTCAGGAAGGTGGTGGTGTGTGTGCAATTCCTCAGGACATATAGAAAGCTAAGAGAAGTCTCTCCAGAAGGAAGTAGAAACGGTACCTGACCTGAAGCCCTGGACAGCCTGCATGAAACTGGCGTTCAGGGTCAGGTTAGCATACTTTTGGCTGCAAATTTCTAAAGATCCAAATCATAGTGAAAGGAACATAAATGGAAATGGAGGTCTGTTTTCCCACATAACTGGAGGTCCCAGCCCAGCCCAGCGCCATTTGACCTTATGCTTCCACCTCTTGCCCAGGCATGTTCAGCATGCTTGGTATCTTTTCTTATAGCTGCAAGATGATACACTTCCAGGCATCCTGCCCTCACTTCCAAAGTGGGCAGGCAGCTGGACTATGGATCTGGGCTCTCAGAAACCTTTCTCCGGACCACCTTTCCTCTAAGGTTCCCTGGCTGGGTTCTGTCCTAAACTCATTACTGACTTAAGAGATAGACTTCCAGGATTAGTTCACCATAGTACTCTTCTGCACGAGACACAAGGGGAATAGCCATGTAGCTGAATGAGTATTTGCAGTGGTGACCCACATAAGATGCACCAGTGCAGCGAACACTGACAGAGCCCTCACAGAGACACCAGAGTAAGTAACAAGGGGGAGCCGTACCAGGTTAGCAAAGGAGGGAAATGCCTGTTGGGGAGGTGGTGATATCCCCTGTAAGAGAAGTGTTTAAGCAATTCTGGTGCAAAGCTTGGGGAAAAAAAATTAGTAATAGGGATGTAAAAAGCCTAAGCAAATGAAAATAAATGTGACAACGAATCATTCCAGAAAAAAGAAAATGGTAGAGCAAAGGAAATGACAGTCTAGCACTCAGTCCAACGCTGCACGATTTATGGTCTAACTCTTCTATCACAAATGCAGTTGTACTGGGATGAGAGCTGAAAAGGAGTTAGAATGGTGAAGTCTTCGTGTGTATTTTCTGCAATATGAAGTCAGAAGTATCCAAAGTAGATAGACTGAAAATACACACTATAAAAATAACATGTTTAGAAATTTACCAGAGCTACGAATAACTGAGAATCACTATGGTGAGAAAGTTAGAAAGTTAGGGGTATAGGAGAGGTGGCTCCACTTGATACAAGCTTTACAAAAGCATTTTTCAAGTTATGCATTTTAGTTTCAAAGACGAAACAATTAGCACCCAGTCCCTCCTCTCCGAATGGCCCTTTAAAGAACACAAATCAAATCAGGATGTAGTCCTCACACCAAGGGAAATCTAATGCTACCTTTCCTCCATTTATTCCACACTCCATCTGGTTTTCCCAGCTGTCCTATCCTACCTCCTCAGACTCAGGTGGGTAGCAGCCTGGGAGAGAATCCACACAAGCAGCAACTGGTTCAAGTCTCTGGAACCGGTTCACTATATCTCAAGAGGAGAGTGCAGCGGAGTCCCAGAAGCCAGTGTTAGGAGTCCTGAGACTTGTAGTCTGGACAGGTAAGGCACAGCCAGTTCTCCAGTGGGACATAAATGCAGTCATTCCTAGGGGAGTGTCCTATTACAGAAGACATCTGGAGGTAGGACTAAGGCCTGTCATGCTACATGAGGCCAACTGGTCTACCAACCTTCTTCAGCTGCTGCTAAAAGTCAGCTGTAGCAAACATCCTACCTGCACTCAAATACAAACAAATACCCAGCTTTTACTTTTTACTCAAGTATTTGTACTGTGACTATTTTAGGGACAGGGCCAAGGGAAAATGTCTTTTGGCAAGGCTTTTATTTTGAAAGCCCAAATGCAGAAAGAAGACTTTTTCAGTGACTTTGACGTTAACAATGATCCCTGATCTGATTCCTCTAGCATTTTCCACCATGTGCTAAACTTACTCAAGTGCCCTTTAACAAAACAGGGACTCCTCCTGCACAACAGCTACAAAAGAGCCGCCCTCACTGCAAGGCCGTCTCCCTGGGTTTCCCATCTCCACTTTATTACTCTCACTAGAATCCCCTCAGCTTTTCTTCTCCATATCCTGTCTGCCTTTGGCACAATACTTCTTTGAAGTCCCACCTCCTCTAGGAAGCCTTCTCCGATTTCTGTGTACTTAATCTGTCTTCGTTCTTGAATTAAACAATCCAGTCACACTTTAGACACCCAGCCCCACCATATCAGCCCGACGGCTAGCCCTTCCACATCACTGTGATCTGTGTACTACTCAGTCTGACAGATGACATGGTTGGCATTAAAACAAAAGGCCATTTTTAGAAACAATTTTATATAAATCGATCCTTTTACAAAGAAGGACATATAGAGAATTTCCAAACTATGGGTGGATCCTACTCTTCCCCTCTGCACTGGAAAAGTACGCCATCTTGTTCTGTACTGTTGCACCTACGCAGTCAGCTTTTCAAGCAGCGTTTCTACTCCTTTGCTGGTGCTTTTGTTTTTTTCCAATTTAGGAATCAGACTTTTCAGTCCAGCTTTAACTTTATTTACAACTTCTTGGTCACAACTCTGAAGAAGGCTGAAGAAAAGAAAAAAAAAAAAGAGAGACAAAAGTTAAATTTCACAATCCTTGAATCTGTATTATTGCATCTACAAAATAAATGAATTCATTTTGAATCAAGTGCTGTAATTACACACAGAATAATTTAAAAAATATTTTATTATTTTTATGTGTATGAATGTATTGCCTGCATGTATGTGAGTGCACCTGTGTCGTGCAATGCTGCGGAGGTCAGAAGAGGGCTTCGGATGTGAGTGTACCTGTGTTGTGCAATACTCAAAGAGGTCAGAAAAAGGTATTGGATCCCCTGGAGTACTAGATGGCTGTTAGCCACCATGTGGGTGCTGGGAATCGAACCTGTATCCTCTGAAAGAGCAGCCAATGCTCTTAACCAATGAGCCATCTCTACAACTCCTGTTTTGAGTTTTAAATAATCCAGTATCTAAAGCTAGCACCCGATGCTTAGTAAATGCTCAATAACTGTGATTCATTAAACAGGGCAGGGCTAGGTCACAGGGATCTGACCACAGACCACCAGCCCTGAATTTCTTGTTCTTCATTAGGAGCATATTTAAATGTTGACCTCTGAAATATATTCTAGAAAGAAATCACTTGGTGTTTTCAAAAGTCCATGGTCCCAGTAACTCCCACTATATCAATAAAGGGGAGGGTCAATTAATAGCACCAAGCAGCATCCTATGGCTTGTGGGAGAGAAACAAAAGAACAGCCTGCCAACTACAAAGTAGAAAAGTGCCCTGGTGACTCGTGACGCCTACACTCTAACAGTGGCTAAACAGTCACACAACACAATTAATACATGCTAACAGCTAATAAGCATGTGCTACATACAGATACAGCAAGAGGCATTTTACATGTCTTGGTTTCTCAACTTTAAGACTACAATTAACCTTGTTTTACAACTAAGACAAACTAGCAAAGCTCAGTGATTTTTCCAAAGCCTCACAGTACTTGAGGCTTGGAAGCCAGGCAGGCTGTCTGGAGCCTGTCCTCTAGGTGCAGAGAGCTCGGCTGAGTTATTTCTCAGCCAACACATAAGGCTGTTTTTTTCCCTTCTCAAAATGCTTTTTCACTTACTCTAAAAAGATTTCACAAAACACAAAACAGAGCATCAAACAATCCCATAAAGAAAACACAAAATAAAAACAAGCAGGGAATTTAGCAAATAAATACTATTTAAGCATCAACCAAAAATGCTGACTGCATTTAAAGTTACCTATAGTTCAACCTCTATTTAGAGCCTCAAATACTGCATGTGTCTCCGTATTAGTTCCACAGTAAGTATGCAGTAGCATTCTTGTGTCTAACTGATGAGCAAACTTCACAAATTCAAGTCATGGCATCACTGAATGGAATGAAAGCATGTGTCAGTAGGTATTAACATTCCAAATTCCTGGTAAAGAAATTTGGGACAAAAAGGTTTCTGTTTCAGTCAATGGTTTTGACTGTTAAATACCAACTGGAAAATTAATTAATTTCATTGATAAATGGACACTCTGACCTGAATGTAACACCCATATATTCAGAGATACAGATTGACTTAAACAATGAATTCTCTTCTCAGTATATGTAAATTAGATGAATTATATATTGAAATATTTAGCCTAATGTTTACAGTGCAGCTAAACTGTGCAGCAAGTTGCAGTGAAGTACGCGGGAACTCCAAATTAGAATGAGTACCTGTTTTCTCACTGTTTGGCAACAGAGTACCAGAAAAATAGGCATTGATTCAAACAGCACACAAATTGTATAAAATGAGTACTTTTAACAAAGACCTGTAAATTATAACCTCAACTAGGCCCAGAGAGTGATTTAGAAGAGAGACTTCCATTTACACATCATCAACCCTCCATCAGTTTTAGTTAAGCACAAACAATAAGCACACAGATGTTACTAACAGATCCTTTCCCAATTCTAGAATCACCAAGGCAATGAAAGAAAATCACCTGTGAAGTCTGGTATGACTAAAGCAGTTTTGTTGTGGTTTCTGTAGGCACACAGTTTATTCATTAGGAGAAAACAGAATTATTTTTTTGGTCAAAACCACAACTGTGGTGAAACTACACATGTTGTAAATGTCTTAATTCTGTGATCTTTGACATCTAAGAGATGACAGTTAAAATTATAAGGACTCAAGAGCTACACTTGCTTTAAAATTCTATTTGTCATGGTGGCGCACGCCTTTAATCCCAGCACTTGGGAGGCAGAGGCAGGCAGATCTCTGTGAGTTCAAGGCCAGCCTGGTCTACATAGTGAGTTCCAGGACAGCTAGGGCTACAGGGAGACCCTGTCTCAAAAAGACCAAAAAAAAAAAAAAAAAATTTATTTATTTACCTATTTGTGTGTGCGTGTATGTGTGTGCGTGTGAGTGTGTGAGTGTGTGTGTGTGTGTGTGTGTGTGTGTGTGTGTGTGTGTATGTGTGACTACAACTTGCAGGAGACAGTTCTCTTTGTCCACCATGTGGGTCCTGGAGACTGAACACAGGATATCAGGCTTGGCAGCAAGTGCCAGATAAGCCATCTCACCAGCCCCCATCTTTACTTTTTAGTTACCTGTCTGGAACATGAGTGGTGGAGTAAAACCACACTACTGGAAACAAACACTAGAAATGAGAAATAAACATGTGTGTGCTTTGCATGACTCGGTCCCAAGCAGAGACACATACCTGGAGAGAAGGATGGCGCCCCGATTGATACTGGCCCAGGACCTCAGGTTCTTCATGCCAACATGCTCTACAAGTGTTTTAGCAAAACAACCTGTAAAATACACTAAATTTAGAACATCAGACATGTACCAATCCTCTTTTCTTCCACCCTTAAGCTTGCAAATGCTTCCATGAAAGTTAATAAAATACCTCTCACACATTCTCCCTCAGCACTAACATTCCAATGCAGATTTAATACTGTGTTAACACAGCCAAGTCTTTTAACTCATGCAAATCCTAAGTTCTTTTTAGCAGTAATTACCTAAGAAAAACAACAGATTATTTTAAAGTGCTCATCTGGTCACACTTGCATTTCTTTGTAATATTTAATGGTTTAACCTTGACCTGAAAGCTATTCAGCAAATAAATGTTTGACAGCTGCATATCATGTATAGCTAAATCAAGTTTTCCCTTGCCGAAGAACACTTACCTAGAAGGTGCCAGGAGCATGGTCAGTGGCTGAGGAATAATTATTTTGGGTTACACGCTACAATTTCTCTCTACAACGCTTACATAGCCACACACCAAAACCAGAATTCAGTCAGGTGCGGTGGTATATACCTGCTGACCCAGCACTTGGGAGGCTGAGGCAGGAGGACTGCCCTGAGTTTCAGGCTGGCCTGGACTACAGAATAGTAAGTCTCACCCTTACCCCCCACTGTTCATCTTTAACTCTAGTACTTCTGACTCCCAAGGTCTTGGTATACTATTAACTGTGTCCTCTAAGTAGAACTCATTTTTGGACAATGGAGAAATTCTAATGGCAGATGGGGAAAGGATGAGCAACAAGCTCAAGTAGGTAGTGTGTATATAATTCATTCAGACAGACAAGTGGAGCTGGGCATGGTGATGCACACCTTTAAACTCAGGAGAGGAAGGGGGATCTAAAAAACAAAACAAAACAAAAAAATCCACACAAAACAAAGATACACAAGTGTAAGGACACCTTAAAAACCATGGAGCCCTTTCAGCTGTCATGGCACCAGCTTAAAGAGGGACAGACACCAGCCAGTGAGGCAGCATGCTTTCTCTAGAATACTGCCATTCCTCCCTCCATTAGGGGTGGACCCTTCTGCTGAATCCAGGTGGTCTCAGAAAAGTGACAAGAGATGACTTCTGAGGATTAATCATGAAAGCATAACACATACACATGCTTTGTTTGCTTCCTTGGGATGCTCAACTTAAAAGCTAACCACTGGTTAGACACGGTAGGTTGTATGTTCCTTTAATTCCAGCACTCAGGAGGTGGCTTGTTACATAGCAGCAGATAATCCAAATAGCCAGACACACTCAAACCATAACTACACCAGGCATATCTGGGAGCTCTTGGCATATTTTTATTGAGAAAAACTACTAGAAAATTCCCTGAACATTAACTTCTCTAGTATATACATATACAAAACTGCTGTGAAAAACAGTGCCAAGCCCTTATTATTGTTTAGTGTGAGAGGTGGCAGCGCTGCAGTGACAATGATGGCCCCAGCACTGCAACTTGCATCAAGTCAGAAATTCATGACCTGTCACTCTTTTCAGTCACAGTAATGGCCCAAACTTGGTGGTTTAACACCAAGCGGAGTTTGGATCTAGTAAGAGGCAAGGAAAGGCAGAACTGAGAGGCAAGTGCCACACAGCTTCCAGCAAGATGGCCATGGTGCTCGCTCTTCTTGCTGAGTTTCCAGGGCTGCTGGGAGGCTGAGAACCAGGAGGGGCCAACGTCAGTCTTGCCCTTTCGTCACATGCACTTCAAAGCCCAGCAATTGCAGCCCCTTTTGAAAGTCTCTACTGACAGCAGTTCTTGACTCACACTTTTGCAGAACTAGAGACAAAAATATCTACAATGGCTCTGCTTCCCTGGGCCTGAAAGACCAGCCGCAGGCCTCTCTCTGGGTAAGTCCATCGTGCTCCTCTCCTAGCCTGCACTACCATCCTCAGGCCTCTTGGGGTAAGTCTATAGCCAACTCTCGTGCCGGGACTCCCTAAGGCTCCGTGCCTTGACTCCCCCAGCCTCATTCACCCTCCCATCTCCACCTCCATTCTCTCCTCCAAGTGTGGGCCCTGCCCCATACCTTGTCTTGGGGCCCCAGACACCTGGGGAACCAACAATGCTTCCTGATCCTTTTCATCCAGACCAATGTAGTGCCTTCTATGGGCCCCAGGAGCACTGCTTCTGGGCCTGGCCCCGCCCTCACCTCCCTCTGCTTCCCTGGGCCTGCATCAGGTCAGAGAGACTGACCTTTCCGCTTCCTGATCCTTTGCATCCAGACCAACCCAGTTCCTAAGTGCAGTCCCCAGGAGTCCTTGGGGCCTCTTCCCCGCACCATCTGCCTTTGCATCTCTGGGTGGCAAGGCCACCAGCTGCCCTAGACCAGCATCTTTCCTGGGCCAGGCTCCCAGGCCAGTCCAACCCCCAAATTCCTGAGGCCAAAATTGTTCCTGGAGAGATACAGACCTTAGGAGAAAGCCCGAAAACATAGACCCTCATCTGAATTGGGCCTCTGTGGGAACTCCTGAAGACAAAAGCAATCCGGCTACTCCAATATAAAATCAAAAGAGAGAACCGGAAGCTTAGACGAACCAGCTTTTCATGCCCAAAAAAGTAAACCACAAAGACACATAAATTTCACAAAAAGAAGGAGACCTAAACTTGAAGGCCTGAGTCTCACACAACTTCATGCCCAGAAAGTAAACGACAAAGGCACATAAAGTTTATAAATAGAAGCAGACCTAAAATCAACAAAGGAAGGCTTGAGTCTCACACAAGAATCAGAAACTATGAAAGAAATTCACATGTCAAAATCACAGAGAAAAAATAGTAACATGAAAAAATAAATAACAAATCCCCACCAAATACCAATAGTCCTCTAGAGGAGTACAATAAGAACCCCTTAGAGATAATGCAGGACATGGAACTCAAAAGAACAATTATAAACATGATAAAAGAATTCAGTGAATTGAAAGAACACACAAAGAAATCAAAGAACTGAAGGAAGATAGGGATAAACTTCTGAATGAATTCAGAAAAGAACTAGAAATATTGAAGACCACTCAGGCTAAATGAAGAAGGAAGTGAAACACTCAGCTAGACG